ATAACTGTTTAAAAGTGGATTATTTTTTTCAGTTTGTAGCAGTCCAGCAGCTGAGAAACAAAGATTTGCTGCTTTTAGGATATCGGAAAAACAGTTAAATATTCAAAGAGAGTGAAAGAAAGAGAAAGACTGAGTGCACAGAGCAGCAGCAGTGCCTTGAAGCAAGATGTAAAAAAAAATCTCAATAAACACACTCTGCTCTCTGGAGTGGTCTGCCTTACAGCCATGAACACTACAGTAAATGTATACTAGTGCAAACAGACAACACATGGTCAGACATGGACGTAAGCATAGAAACAGACACACATGCACAACACATAATAAAGTATACTACACACAGAGACACACGCTAAGCCAAGAGGCCAAGGCAAAGCTCTTTCACAGTGTACCTGCAGGGCTCCACCCATATTTCAAACACACAGACAATCATCAGGGGATGCAATTTTCACCACAACACCTGCTTCGGTATATTGACCTCACCAGGGGTCGTTTCTGAGACTGTTCACAGTGAAAAGACTTCAGGGTTTGACAGCGAGGAACAGGCCGTGATTATCTCCAACTCCAATAAATCTTTAAATATGTATTTGATTAGGATGAATAAGATATTTTTATGATTTACATGATCCATAATATTATGTAGTCAATGGGGAAACACACACATATATATATATAATGTAATAATTTAGTCATCTAGTTAAATAGGAACAAACACTGATACTCAAATTACCCTCAGCTATTTCAAGTGTTGCTTCCACCTTGTTGATACAATTCAGACCATGGTAACATAACATGTGGGTAAACTTATAGAACTTAACACATCACACACACAGCTCTTAAGTGTTATAATAACAATATAAATAGCTAAAACACTTTGACACTGAAGGGCAATATTCTAATTTACGAAGACTATTACGTACATGTAAAGGTTAATTTAACATGAGAGCAGGATTAAGTAATTGCAACAGGACGTGGAATCACAACCATGTTTTATTATATTAAGTGATAAGATGGGATTGTGTGGAAACAAAATACAAAATACAAAGTATGAGACTTTTTCCTTACCTGAATATACATAAAATAACTAACTTATGAGATGGTTCAGGTGCCAGAAAATATGTTTATCTCCCAACCTTCATACGATTTAGAATTGTTTTCTCATTTTCATTACATGACACCAAAAACTGAAAATGGACTCAAAGACAAGATACTGAATATGTTACTATAACTACTGTGTAGCTGTGAGACAACTGTGGCATGTACAACTCCTTACCGGGAACGTGTCTTATACATTTCTTGTCTATAAATGTTTAACAAGCTTAAAAAGCAACAGTACAACAGTCTTTAGTGCATTGTGCTATTTCTGAAGATGTTCTTATCTTGCCTTTGGCACTGCTGCAGTTGCCAACAAGGTCCACAGTTGCAGACGTTCCTTCTGGGTTCCACCTGTCTTTACAAAAATTAGCTTGGTTTCATACCTGCGGAGTGAAGGATTAGAGTAAAAAGTGTTGAGATTAGAGATTAAAAGAGGAAAGGATGGAGGGAGTGAAACACTGCGGGTGGTGCTGGGAATCAGCCAGACTGGCCCTTGTGATTCCAAACAAGCAGTGGGTGGGAGAGGAAAGAGGATGAATGGCTACTACTCTCACGCTGCTGCTCTGCCTGGGCCGGAGCATGAGCTGTGGTAGAGACTGAGGGCTGACTGAGTGGCAGGATGGGAGAGAAAAGAGTAAGAGGAGCAAGGGGAGGGGGGGGGGTGCTAGCCCTCTAGCTATCAGTACCAGTAGGAGGAGAAGAGTGAGTTTAAAGGGGAGGGGGGAGAAAAACATGAGAGAGAAGGAGGTAGAGCAGACACAGGCTGGCTGCTTGGATTTGAAGGGGAAGGAAGGGAGAGAGGAGATCCTGGTGGCTTGTTTAGAAAGGAGGGTGGATGTTTGCAGTCTGAAGGCCGCAGTTACACTGTGACTATAGTGTCACTGAAAGGACTCTAGTAAGGTAAGGTGACTTTTTCAATAAGGTGATTAGTGTGGTGTCCACATATGTAATTATATTGAATATAAAAGGAGGGGTTTTACTTGAATCAAGCTTGATAGGTAACATTTTTATGGTGAAAATGTGCAAAAAAAAGAACTATTTGTAAAGTTAAGAAGTCCTCACACTGACCCCAGAGGGAATCATGCTCATAACGCACAAGTCTTGTGATCTGTGTTGATGGATACAGAAGTCATTTCTTCCTCTGAGTTGCTGTGTTTTTGTGTATGTGCATGCCGCTGTTCATGGTCTGGGTGTGTGTGTGTGTGTGTGTGTGTGTGTGTGTGTGTGCATGTGTTCTTATGCTGCGAACCCTCATGAGATAAGAAGGACACAAACACACACAGACATCCTCTCTGTGCCATACCCCGGTGACCAATGAATGAGCATCCTTGTAAAGAGAGCTCAAAGCAGGCGAGTCTCTGCTAATCGTCCCTCAGGCCACTCTCCGCTGCTCTTCTGTTCTATATTACATCTTTAACAAGCTGCCATTATATTGCTCAAACATAAGTTCACAGCAGTCGATCTGTGGTCGAAAGCGTTGACGGTGAGATGTTTATGTGCAGCATATGACCATCAGTTGTTTTCATTATCGATTGACAACTCAAGAGCAAGAGAAGACATTTTCATACAGGTTTTTGCGTCTGACCAGCAGTTTAAAATCCAAAGATATTGCAATTATACAAATATATAAAACAGAAAGAAGCAGCAAATCCTCACATTTGATCAGTGGTGGAAGAAGTACCAAGATCCTTTACTTAAAAAAAGAGCAATATTTCAATGTAAAAATACTTAATTACAAGTAAAAGTATAGTAAAAGTGTGATAAAGTAAAAGCAATTGTTATGCAGAATGGATTCTTTTAGAGTGTTCTTATATTTGTTATAGTATTATTTTATTATTACTGATGCATTAGCTTGTAATCAGCATTTTAAGTTAATGGTAATTACTTTATATACCTTTGGGTAGTGTATGAGCTATTTAAACAGCTATTTGATTCATTTTAGATTTTTCCTTTATTTATTCAGTATTTGTCTTTGCTTTTTCATTGTTTTGTAAGAATTTGACAGCACTACAGGCAGCCCAGGTTTGTGAGAGCATGCACCTGGGAGGGTCTATGGTTTTTACCAGATCAAGAGAGGCAGACGGAGCCATGATTTCTTTGTTCTTTGCTTGTTTAGGATACATAAACCACAAGAAAACACAGAAACATCTGTGTCACCAGCCTGCGTACATTTCATTCATATGGTGCATCACTCGCCTTTTGGCTTAAAGTTGGTTTTAATTTTGGACAAATAGCCATTGCAGGTAGTTACATTTATTACAACATATTATATAAATACATCATATGTTTTGTATGGAAAATGTAATCTTAAAAAGTAACATCTAAAATCTCTCAAAGAAATGTAGTGGAGTTAAAAGTACAATATTCCCCTCTGAAATATATTTGAATTGAAATGTAAAGTAGCATAAAAAAGGTAATTATTACTATTATTATTATTGACTATTCAAATAAGAAGTACTAGTTTCAGCACTGTATGTAAAGTTCAATAACAATATGTTTAATACTCTGTAATAGCAGTTGCTGCCACATTTGAGTGCTGAAGGGAAGGCACAGTGATCCCCCACACTGTTGTAGCCTACTGGATGCCATTTCGCCGGTCTGGTTTGAGATGGAAAGGGACAGGGAAAGACAATGGCAGCAGCATGGTCTGAGGATGTTTCTATTTGCATGTGTACACCACTCCCACCAGTTCCCCTCCACATCCCAAGAACAATGCTGAATAGAGGATTGCCTGATGTCATCCGGCGTTGCTGCTACTGATCTGAGAACAGTCATAAATCCTCTCCCCACAGTTCCTGTTGTGAACTGATATGGTCCATCAATAGTGTCACTGGAATTCATACTCATAAACAGATCCGGTTTCAGAACATTTCTCAAAATATTGCCCTGTTCATTAGCAAGAAATTCCACCAAGTTCTTGACAAAGGACATTTGATGTCCACTTCCTGTGGATGGGTCAACTCTGAGTCCTTACCCAGAGCCAGCTCATGCCAAAAAATCAAGAACTCCATCAATGCATTCTTGTGGTGGAGTGACAAACCAAAGAAGTGTCTTGAGTCAAACGTAACCACTTCTCTTTTGTTGTGTGTAGCGGCTGCAAACAAAGGTCTTCTGTCGTACTGTACAAGATCCATATGAACCAAAATAAAGGACATACTCTAATCTGTTGTGTATGACAGAGATGGATCATTTTGTTTTATACGGCTGCTTCTTCTGTAATTAAGTTATTTTGGAAGAAATGTCTTTACTATTGCTTTTCCTTCTTGACACATTAATCACAGGATCTGAGAGCAACATGAAATAGTGTCAACTGCGTTTTCACCCTTCGAAAGTTTCACACCCATGACCAATTTGGATGGTTTCCCACGTCTGCATGTGTGACTGTTATCATGTCTGCACAGATGGGACAGCCCACCCTGCAACTGTGGGTTTGGTAGATGGGAAATTGACATTTGGCATCACAGATTCTGTTTGTATGATCATTATGTCAACTTTTAATCAATACTTAAAGAACAAAGATAACTTTCTCTTACAGTGTAGTTTATTATTTAAAATGATATTACAGTACCAACGTGGCTTTTTCATCAAATGCTCTATTGTTCCTACTCACAATGTCAAAACTGCTACTCCATTTGCGACACTGGACACACCAGATGGAATAAAAGCTGTTATTTTATATAAAACTATTTACTGTACATGTTTTAAAGGAGATTATAAATGAATGACTGTCTTTGGGTTATGGGCTGTTGGTCGGACAAAACATGCAACACATCAGCTTTCGATTTTATTGAAAGACAGTTTAAAGATTCACAATAACTAATTGTTATTTAGTTTGTCCTATTAAAGAAGCTCAAGTAATCTCTCAGGATGTTCTGTCAGCCTTATTTATATATTTGTTTTCTTTGCAGATGTCATGGCGTCCGACCTACCGAAGCTCCAAGTTTCGAAATGTCTACGGAAAAGTGGGCAACCGGGAGAACTGCTTCGACGGTATCCCCATCACCAAGAACGTCCATGACAACCACTTCTGTGCCGTCAACTCCAAGTTCGTGGCGGTCGTCACAGAGAGTTCCGGCGGGGGTTCTTTCATTGTTATACCTGTATCCCAGGTAACTGCCACTGTCACACTCCTGGCTTGATTGATTTGCTTGATTTGGTTGTTGCCTTGCCAACCAGTGTAAAAAAGAACAGGGTCTTACCCTCTTTGGAGGGGCATTTCTCTACTTTACTGTACACTTTATGGTGGGAGGAGTTATGTGACGGTTGAACACCCCTCTATATCTTAATGCTTTGCCCCATACTCTGTTTGTTTAGGGTTTAGACCATTTATCTTTTTCTGTACATTTATCCGATCACTGTGGTTTCAGCTTCTTCACAGCACAGTAAGATCTGAAGTTTTTCACACAAATTCAGCACAGACCCTTCCTGCTATTGCAGAGCATGCCAGCTTTAACTCCTCAAGCCAGAATTTAAAGCCAAAGTTGTAGCAGTGTAGAATTGCCAATAGAATCACATAAAGGCATACTGGTATTGCCCATAAACAAGACAAAAGGGCACTGTTGCAATGAAATGTGGGAAATTCTTTTTCTTATTGTGGAAAAAAGGGAATGTGTTTCTTCTTACAGAGAATTATCTTCACATCTTCACAGCTTTACTGCTGTTGCTGGATTATTTATTAGAGAACAGCATCACAGATTTAAATACGGAAGACGAGCATTAAAGTTGCACAATTTAGAGGTAGATAGTAAAGTGATAAATTGTTTAAGACTTAAGTGTGAAGTAATTTTCCCAAGAACTGCTTTTAACTGAAAACGTGCCGGTGATATTGGGTTTGATGTGGAGAGTATTTCTAAATGTTGCTTTTATGCCTATTATGGATTGAGGTGCTAATGTATTCACTAGTGTTTCCTAGGTGATGCTGATTTTTGGATGTATCAGTGTTATGAACAGTGTAGTGCAGATATTTTTCCCATGAGGCTGTAGTGTAGTCTGCCTCTCAGTCCACTTTGTATGACAGTGTAGGTCTGAGAAAGAAAACCATAAAGTGCTTTGCCTCTTTAAGAGAGACTCTGCCAAGGTACTTGAAAAGCTCTTGGCTGGCAAGCGGGGTCGAGTCAAGCTGTTATCAGCCGGAAGAAGTATTCAGTAAGCTGAGCGGTTCTGCTGTCTGAAGCAGGGAGATCTCAGCTACATTTTACTTTACATCATCATGAGCTATGGTGTTCAGTCATGGAAAAAGCCTGACTACTGGCTGTCTCTGTGTGTGTGTGTGGGCGGGGGGTGCTCTGCCAATTAGGTGATTAGATAGTAGGTGTTATTATCTTTAGATCTGAGGTGGTGCTCACTTAAATTCAATTCATGTTTGCCATATTTTATAATTTTACATGCAAGGAACAACACATAAGTTACCATAATAAGGTGGTCTCTATGGGGCAAGCCTCTTTCATGTAATCAAACACTGATTTAAAGGCCTAGTGTGTAACATTTAAGACGATCTATTGTCAGAATATTCTTTTTTTAACTGTATTAACGTATAATCACCTGAAAATAAGAATCTTTACATTTTATTACCTTAGAATGAGTCTTTTATATCTACAGATGCAACCTGTGTTTTTACTGGAGCCTATAAGGGACATACCAAACACTGGCTCTAGATAGGGACGTTTCTCCTTCCCACTTGGGAGAAGAGGGTGAAGCCAAGGGGTTGCAAACTGCAACTTCACCGCTAGATGCCACTAAATACTACACACTGGTCCTTTAAGAAAAGGTGTTTCTCATTTTGTCCACCTACACTGTTTAACTCAGATATGACTTTTGAAATTGGTGAGGCTGCAGGTAATAATAGGTCTCTAGGCAGTTAAGACGCAGCGCTCTTTGCTTTGTTTTGAGCTTTTGAATATGAAGAAAAGCTTCACAGCATCACACAATGAAAGCATCACTTGCTGGCACCGTGTTGATTTATAAAAGGTTGTGTGCATTGATAGAAAGAGCAGGTCATATTGGCTGGTTTCCCATGTCATTACAAGTCAGCTCCAATAATAGCTTTAATTATATAGTGATTGTGATTGATATTACAGAATTCACTGAGAAAGAAATTGATAAATGATGATGTGACAATGTTAAGCGTACTGAGGAAATGAATCGATGATGATCAGTCCAGTCACAGAGAGGAAAGTGAATATTAAAAAAAAAGCTGATATTAGTAGTAATTTTCTCATAGCAAAAGTTAAGGTCGCCATTTTCTGGCTGCACAGGTGTTTTAATTAAATGATCTCAGGACTCACTTATACCTAATCACATATTCTCAACTGATTGCACATTATCATTTACAGTAACCAATAACTCCATGAACTGAAACTCATATTTCACTGTGGCATTTCTCATGCTGTGTAATGACTCAATGCATGACCCCGTCCAAAGACCGTAACTTGATCGATTTCCTCCTCATCAGAGTATTGCACTCAAGCATTTCCTCTGGTTTCCGCTGAGCTGACCAGTTTATAAATGGGTTTTTATCATATTCAGCAGCACCACAGATGACAGCTTCTGTGGGATGATGACTGCTGTTTCATGCTCTGGTCAAAACAACAAATGAGCAAACTTAAGTAAACCCTGCTATAAACTAACATAACGACACATATTCCTTTTTGAGGTAACCTTATACAGTATGAGGCTCTTAACATACAGAGAAGGACCTGGGTTGTTGTTTATGCTGAAAGGATGGCGTTGAATAGTTCAGATGTGCAGATGATTATTTGCTTTTGGTAACTTCTATATGAGGAATTTATTATGCAGCTTTATATTTAAAGGCCACTCCCCTGTAATATTAAAATTTAAATGATAATTTAATATTTTTTTATAATAATAAATAATTAAACCTGACTCCCAAATCAATGATTTGGGTTAAATCTTAATCAGAAGGAGGTATGGTATGCAGAGTGATGTCACCAGTCACACTTTAACCAAAATCAATAGCTGTTTAGTAGATGATCATCAGCAGCAGTGGAAACCGTACACTTGTGAACTCTCTGAGCGAGGTCCTCCTGCTACATTAAACATACAAACTAATCTGCGGTGGGTTTGGCTAACGCCGAGGTGTGAACATAGCAGACACATTACGATGACAGCCGGCGAGACAGCCATATGGTTGCCCCCAGACAACGCCAGTAGCAAGTGGAGGGACTACCGCTGGCACCACCTGGCACACAGAAATCGACACGTAAGGTCACAAACACCTCCTCATCACCTCAGACAAAGAAAGAAAGTGCTGTGGGTGTGGTGCTTTTTTAATCACTGCTGCTACTACTGCTACTACTACTGCTACTGCTACTGCTGCTACTGGGTACAATTAAAGTTCCAGTGTGTAACATTTATGAGGATCTATTGGCAGAAATGGGTTCATACGTTCATACCTGAAATGAAGAATCATTATGTTTTTGTTACTTTAGACATCTTTATCTACAGACACTGCAGGTTGCTTTCCATGGAGTCCGCCATGTTGAACCGCCATGTTTCTCCAGTAGCCCAGAACGGACAAACCAAACACTGTACATAGATCAGTTTCTGGTTTTGCGAGTTTCACAGCCGCTGTAATGGATGGTGTTGCAATCTGCAGTTACAAATAATCATTATCTATATCTTATTATTAAATTATTTTCATCAAGGTAAAAATCGCAAGTAGGTTTCCTGCTTTTCCTTTTCTTATTACGTGATAGTAAACTGAATCTCTTTTAATTGGTCATAGAAGAAATCTAGCAATTTGTAAATGTTGTGATGGGCATTTTTCACTTTTTTCTTACACCAAACAACCAATTTTAGAAAATAATCAACAGATTAATTAACAATGAAAATAATTGTTAGATTCCTTAAATAAACCTATTAAAAACCAGCAGGACTTAATGTGTTGAATGATATACATATAGATGCATATTCTCTCTCTGTACATGTTTATATATAGAGAGAGGACATTTTGAACATAGTGTGCACAATGCTCATATTCATGAATGAGGATGTTATTTTGCTACAGTTCATTATGCCCATTAATTAATTAAGTTAAACCATCACTGTGAGGTCGGTATAAACAAGGCTCTAATGTAGAGTCAAACACGTGGCAGCAGTGATCCAACGACAGAGACCAGACCACCTGACTGCCCAAACACTGCACAACATGCTGGTGCATATGAAAGCGCCAGCAGCATGTTGTGAAGTGCATTGGACCATTTACTTGATAACCGGGAGCAGCAGAATATCAATTCATCTTAATAAGCATGACTCAGCATGTTTTGAGTGGCTAGCCATATGGGAGGATGTGCCACAGCATATTTATAACCTCTTCTGCTAAGATTTATAGTCTTTTAAATCAGCATACGGCCACACTTACTCTTAGTTGCAACAACAGTTTATTCTTTAGAGAAGAAACTGACAAGCAGCAGAGAAGAGACACAATGGCAAATACTGAACTTGTATTATTGGATCCACATTAGTCGTTCATTTCTTCCTGCTCTGTAATTCATTCACATTATTGCCAGAGGAATCATATGATATTTCCAAAACATTACTCCTCTGAAAGGCTGCTGTTGGATGTTCTGTAGTAATACTGTAACCGCAGAACAGCAGCCTCGTTAATGAGGATTTATTGGGAATTACAGATCAATAAGAGTTGGTAGCAATCAGTGTCGTGCCACTGGAGCTGTTGGTACCTGGTCGGCACATCTGTGCATCACCAGCAGAGTTCATCAGAGCCACAGCTTCAGGAAATGAGCTGCAGAAAGACAATGAGGCCTAATGTAGGACTGTGTCTCTTTCCTGCTAGTCATCCAGATAAAGCACTATTTCCTCTTTAATCTTTTTTAAATGTATTTATACTTGATTGTGGCAGCTGTGAGACCCAAATGTTTGAAATCTAAGCTCTAAATACAGCTCTTTTATTATCCCTCTCTGATTTCTTCATAATACCTCATGGACCCAATGAAGCCTGTGGTTCTCTACAGACTTGATTTCTTTGCAGGTAATTAGCTCCTCCTAAATAAGGAGTCCCTTAGATCCTGTGTTATTAATGGTTTGAGGCCATGATAAAACCTCCCTGTCACTGTAACATTCATAGAAAAAGCTAACGCGTCATCAAAGCTTGTATTAGCCTGGCTTGTCATGAGAGTGTTTTCCAAGTTTCTTAAAATGTACATCCCCGCATGTACAAGTATGAGCACATTTGAGTTTCCATGTGAACATAGAGAGAAACTATTGTGGTCCAAAGTTGCTAAAAAGATGTTAAAGAGCCTTCAGTGCTAATTTGTATGTTTATGAATCATTCTGTCTTGCTTAGTCACACACTTTCCTTTTATTCTCATATTGAATGAATTGATGTCTCACTTCACTGTTGTCAACTTTTGGCAGACACTGGTTTCTATTTGTTTTGGCATGTGTGCCTTATCTTGTCAGCAAGGCCTTCAGTATCTTTGGCAATGTGTTAACGCCAGACTTCCTGCTTACTGCTTTCTAGGTGGTTAACTACAAGTAAAGTATTTATTGATGTGCTTTATTTTCACTGTATCTATTATGTATTTCAGTGAGACTATACTTTTGTAGCTCCTATTTTGAAAACAACTTTGTGTTCTCTTAGTGCTAGCTGTCAGTAGGAAGCTAATATTGATCAATATGGGTAAATATGAGCTAATAACTAAATTTACTATTCATATAAAGATTATCCTGAGGCTGTATGATGTCCTATAATGTAGTTAGGGTGCAGAGAGACACTTTCAAGACCTTACTGAGAGTAGTAAACATCTTATCATTCAAAGTAGAGTTTCTTAAAAGCTTTATAATGCATCTGGAGTGGATATTCAGGGTTCAGTGAGGACAGTGCATTTAAACACACACACACACAGGATTTCACTGCCACATGACCCGACGCTCCTAAACAAATCTCTGAGGAAATAAAAAAAAGAGGTCAGTGGATTGAAGTGACATCAAACATTCATGACATCATGACCGACATTAGGAGGTTCCTGTTGTCTGTTGTTATGAGCCACTGCCCCTCTGTGGACTCTGCGGGTTATTGCAATAACAATAATGCTGCCTCAGATGTCCCTGTACAATAACCAGGTCTGTTTTTGTTTTGCTCAGGGTTTATCAAATCATCTCACTGATGTGATTTAACTTTTATTATGTTATATTAGCCTTTCATGTCCAATAAAAGCTAAGAAACGTTTTGTTCAGTCTTGTTCTTAATGGATGAATACAGATAATGAATTACTTGCATCCAGTAGCAAATGTAATTAAATAAATTACTTTTTCTAACCTTTTTTTATCACTGCTTATTAGGTCATGAAAGATTTATGATCTATTCTTGTATTCTGGGTGTATTCTGAGTTATACATTTATGTGTGCACTTTGATTCCCGCTAACATACCTATGTGCTCCTAAAACAGAAGAAGTAAATGCAAAATAATGTACATCTGTTTCAGTCTGGCCGCCTGGAGTCTCATTACCCAAAGGTTTGTGGCCACCAAGGCAATGTGCTGGATATCAAGTGGAATCCCTTCTTTGAAAACATCATAGCATCCTGCTCTGAGGACACCTCCGTGAGTAACCCACATTCTTTTATTTTTTTAATGTCTATTTTTACTAAACAGGTTGGCTCAGGATAATTATAGAAGGAATGACTTGGTGACTTTGAAGAGGTGAAAAACATACTGTATCTGTGAAGTCATGAGTTTGTTAGATGCTGAGGTCGACAGCCCAGAAGGCAAAGACGTCATTGACTCATTACGGCAAGAGGGTCGCTGATTCAGAGAGTTTGTGTTGGACACGAGCTCATGATTGGATTTTAGCTTCCAGCTGCTCTGATTTTTATTGGGCCTGAAAATGGCAAATGACGGATGTGAAATGCCTTCGAGCAAGGCACACGTCTGCTAGCTGTTCAGTAACTGACTGCATAGATTACATCAGACGTAATATCAAATCTAAATTGCTATTACTCTTAATCTCAGATGCTTCATGGCATATGCTAAGACCATGTAGGCCTTTTTTTCCCCCAGTACATGCACCTGTTACTTTACTCTACTGAGCAGCATAGTAAAGCCATTGTAGCACTGTACTTTCACTTGTCGAAGGATAATCTCCTCTGGTCCAACACAGAGCCACGAGCCATAGCTGTAATCCATTCTAATCCTAATGCAATGGACTGCATTGATACCATGTGCTATTTTTGATCAGGGGGATCTCAAACTGTGTCATACTGATTGTAGTTTGGAGCTCATATTAAAGAGTTATGAAAGATAAATGGTGGCCTCTGATAAAAACATAATACTTGCTCAGTAAAAACAGCCATAGGTATGAAAGCGTGTGCATTCTTTATGAGGATTCACTTATATTTTCTCTGTGTGTGTGTGTGTGTGTGTGTGTGTGTGTGTGTGTGAACGTGGCAGGTGCGAGTATGGGAGATCCCAGAGGGTGGTCTGAGGCGCAACATGACGGAGGCGGTGCTGGAGCTGTACGGCCACAGCAGACGGGTGGGGCTGATCGAGTGGCACCCCACCAGCAGCGGCATACTCTTCAGTGCTGGCTACGACTACAAGGTACCACATCAGTAACTCCAAACACAACTAGCTACTTATCACAATACAGGGGTTACAATTCAATATATTGCAATACTGTTAGATAGGCGATATATTGCTATATTTATTTTTAATCATAGTATAAACATACAACCATATACAGAGAATCTCAGTAAAAAACGTTTTCTTTTTTTATACAACCAGAACAGTGGGGTCTGCATTTGTATTCATCACAGTCCCTGTAACATCCCAACCATCAATCAGCCCTCCGAGTTTACATTTACAACACTGCTATGTAGCAGTTGGGGGTTTAAACTCAAAATCAATACAGTGTCTTTAAGAATCGACACCCCTATTCAGGAGTTTTCTTTGTGATGTTAAAAGTACTTTTTATGAGACGCCATTTTGTTGGATTAATCAATTAGTTGATCTACAGAAAATTATTCAAACAATTTTGTTAGTTAATAAATTATTAAAGTCATTTATCCATCAAAAAGAACCATTTGCTGGTTGAAGCTGCTTAAATGTGAGGACTGTGAGAAGACACCTTGGGCTCATTTCACTGATTTGTGACATTATATAGATGTAACGATTTACCAATTTTCTAAAACAGATGGATTAATAGATAATGACAATAATTTGTTGCAGCCCTTTTTATCGACTTTCTCTCCACAGGCCTATAAACCTAAATTAGTGATTTCCAAAGAACAGAGGTGGGACATTTAGAACTGGATATCAGCATGAACTACTGTCTGACACACGAAAACAAAAAAACAAATTAACAAGCTCACAACACAGTGACATTATTGATTCAGGCACCGCAGCCATCTAACAGCTCCCACACAAACAATCCTTCCTGATGTGTCAGATCCTGATCTGGAACCTGGAAATCGGAGAGCCGGTGAAAATGATCGACTGCCACACTGACGTCATCCTCAGCATGTCCTTCAACACAGACGGCAGTCTGCTGGCCACCAGCTGCAAAGACAAGAAGCTGCGTGTCATTGAGCCTCGCTCCGGGGGAGTCCTTCAGGTGACAGAGGGGAGGGCGCTGTGTTCATGTGCATTGAGACAACAGCTGTTACAGCTTTATGTTAAAAAATATCATTAACGACGACTATTTAGATGTATATTTGTAAGTATAATACTTATAATGAACCTCTCGTTTACTATGACAATTTAAAATTATAGTGGCCATGTACTAGTGGCTCTTCCCCATATTGCCAAAAGTATGTGAACACTCCATTTGTCTACTTTTGGTCTGGAGCAGTTCTTGATGGTTTGGGCTTAGTCCCTTAGTTAAAATTAAGGGGAATCTTATTGCCACAGCATACAGTGATGTTTTAGGCAATGGTGTACTTCCACAAAAGTCTGGGGAAGGCCCCCCTACCGTCCTATTGCATCACAACAATGCCAAAAATGATCTCTTTTGTCCTTCAGCAGGTCTTCATCCCTTTAAGGTCATGCTGACAAATTGCAGCTCCACGAGATTTTCTCACAAAGTCTGTTTTTAAAGCCAAAATGTTGATCAAATTAATCTATAAATACAGACTTCACTCAATAATTTGAAACATATTTATAAAACAAACAAATGCTGCAGCTAGTTCTCACCACTTCTCAACACCTTGATGTTTGATTTTGGTGATCTTGCTGGCTGATCACCATGAAATGGTTTCTGATTAGACCTGTGTGCTGCACCCCTGCTGCACCAAGTGGATGTGATCAAGACCAGGCAGCAGGAGGAAGAGAATAAGCAGTGAGAGAAAAAAGGACAAATCATGAAAATATTTTGTACCTGAAATACAGATTTACTTTTGAAGAGCAGAGCATTCTCTGTTGGTATGTCTTTTAAAAAGTAAAATGATGAAATGATATAATTATATTCATGCTGCTGTGCAAAGCTTTTAAACTGTATGTAACTGCATGAAATGATTCAAATCCTACATGATCAACATTGTAGAGCAAACTTTTATGCTTATTGTAAGTTGCCACATGCTTCAGTCAGCATCAGTCACAAGAATAAATATTTGCTCTGTTTTTATGTACTGCTCCATCAGCAAGCCAGTTGTAAGAACCACCGTGTAAACCGAGTGGTGTTCCTGGGCAACATGAAGCGACTGCTCACCACGGGGGTTTCTCGCTGGAACACCCGGCAGATCGCTCTCTGGGATCAGGTCAGACGACACCTCCATATGGCTCATGCTGTAAATGCCAGAGTGGGTGGAGCAAGTGTGTGTTAATTCCCCCGTGTGTGTGTGTGTTGCTCTTCCCAGGAGGATTTGTCCATGCCAATTGTGGAGGAGGACATAGACGGCCTCTCAGGACTGTTGTTTCCCTTCTACGATGCTGACACACACATGTTGTACCTGGCAGGAAAGGTCAGCACTGACCCTTATAATAACCCTATGATTCTCAGGTTTACCACATTCAGATACACATTTAACTTATTTCAATTTTACTCATTCAAACCTAAGGAAAAGATCTTTGTAGACTAATGGTAACAGGTTTGTTACAGGCAGAAATCCAACACTGACTGAACATTTTGGTCACATTTCAAGAGAGGCGCAATCAGCACAAATGTAGTTAAAGGTAAATATCTAACAAAGTAATAAGCTACAAAGGTTAATGATGCCCCTTGTTGAGGCTATAAGAGTATACAAACATACCGTACATACATAAATAAATAATCAACAGAACTGAACAAGGGTTGAAAAAACATTTTTAATGTAGCAATTTTGCATTCTATTAACAAAAATGTTGAGAAGCAGGAAGAACAGGTCAAAGTCAAAACAATATGGGATAAATTTGATGTGTTAATGTCAAATATATATAAAATATATATGTTTGTTTTGTTTTGTTTTGTTTTTTGTTCAGATGTTTTTATTGATGTTCTGGCAACAATTATCAATATAATCAGTCTAGAGGGGTTCACCATGTCCAAGACTGGTTGCCATATAAATGAATGACATCGTCATATGTGTGTAAGACAGCTTTCACGGTACCTCCTTATTCCAACCTTCCAGTGCAGGGGGGTCCTGAGAATAGTCTCTCTTGCTATACATAAGATATATATATATATATATATATACATGTGTTCAGCTTAGCTTTGTAGTTATTCCTTGCACCCTTTATGAGGGTTACCACCTCATCTTTCACTTCTCTCCAAAAAA